GGACCTTCTACAGCAAGTGAAGACAAAGCGTGACTTTTTTCTCCTCTTATCTAACTAGAGACGTTTAATTCAATTTCCTTTTCACTATCACCCTCTGCCTATGGTCAGGTTGCAGATTCATAACTACCTTCCTACTTCAAAGGAAGAGGCAATTGGGTAGATGAAGGCTCAAGACAAAGAGTTAAAGTCCCAGGTTCTTTCAGATTTCAATCATCTCATTTGGTGTGAGTTTTAAACAAAGTACTCACCATGCATCACACAAACATTCAAGTTTCCTAAGCAACTTGCATTTTCCCTTTTGAAACCAGAACTGTTAAGATCATGGGACACTGCATACAGAATTAGTTATTCAAAATGTGTCCTGCAGCAATCGCTTCCAAATCCACACTCCATCCATGGGCATTTGGAGAACCACAGAGCTGTTATATTGTTTCAAGAATGCACAAGTCCCAGCCATGCAACTTGCACGCTACAAGTTCAATCAATGTCTAAGAGCGAGCAGAGAGCACTCCTTACTCAGCACGGACAGTGAAGACCACCAGGAACGGAGGGAGGACAGAGGTTAAACGTTGTGGAGAGCTAGCCTGAAGACTTCGTTGGTGCACACCCACGCACCTTGAAAATTTTTCAACAAAAAAGTTTGATGGAAGCCTAGAACTTGGTCATCATCTGCCTGAGCAGGATAGAGGAAGAAAAACATTACTAAAAAAATGCTCTAAAAACATAGAATGCCATTATTATTGCTGGATTTGGCCGAGGGAGGTCTCTGAATGCAGGTCAAAATAATGGGCCTCAAAAATGTCTCCTCTTCCTGGCTGAACAAACAAATGCTCAACAGCAGCACAGGCTCTTGGAAAAGCAGCAAGAAATGGTAGAAACAAAATAAAGGTAAACAGATATACCAAGTTTATCATCTTTTCCATACACCAGGGATGTCAAATGCATCTGGCCCTGCAGGCCTGATGAAGGTAACCAGCCAGTCCAGGAGCTGGACCAGGTCGGGGGCGGGATGGGGTAACATGCAGTGTGGATTCTGGACTGGCTGGGGTGGGGGCTGCATGTGACTGTGCATCCCAGGCACTGCTCACGAGGCCAGTCCAGCAGTATGTTGGTCAACTAGGATACAGGGGCAGCAACGGAGGTTAGATGATTGGACTCTGTGGGTCAGATCTTAATTTTTTTTTAATTGTTGATTTTTATGCACCCTGGCCACATAACAGGAGCAGAAAAAGTCCAGCCTGCAGGCCAGACTGGCCCTGCAGCAGACTCCATTTCCCAGCAACCCATGCCTGTATCAGGTGGCCAGTTTCCATGGAGACCCCAGCAGCAGCAGTGCCATGACAGTTCAGGGACAGGGTTTCCATGGAGACTGGCCCCCGCAGTGCTGGCAGGGTGTACAGCTGGACAGGGAGCTGCTCCAGGACTGGAGCTGCGATCTTGCAGCTGTGACAGTGTGGTCCGGAGCAAAGCAGGGCTGCAATCCACTGCCCATACATCCTAGATCTGGGAGGGGGAAAGGAATGCCCAGCACTGCCACTACTGAGGTCTCTGTGGAAACCAGCCACCGCAACTCAAGCACAGGCTTCCTCGATGATAGAGTCTAATCATCGGCCAGATACAACATTTTGCCCAGCCCTGATACAAAAGGTCCCCAAAGGGTAACTGCCTACATAAAATACCACAGCTTTTAAAAGCTCAGCTTTGGAAATGTATGCACTTATCCCAAGTGGTACTTTTTAAGTATTTGCCATTGCAATTTTGTGGACAGAGTGAAGTAAAAACCAGCAAGTTGTTTTTAAGTCTGCTATTTGACCTGCTGTATGAAAGTCAGTTTATGCCTCATTTTCTACCTCCCAAGAATATTTTCCTTCCTCTGTATCATGCCCATGACCTATAAATTAATGCTGCCCAAAAGCTTAACTTTATTCAGGAGTTAAAAATTAGCTTTGCCCACGTATTCAGGACTTCATTCACGTGCTATTCTGGATACTGCTGTTTTAACACACTACTAAACTCCATAATAAAATGCTTACACTGACTCCTGTTAGCATTCTACTTCAGTACCCAACACAAAGACAGACAGGCTTTTTGGTACAAATCTAACACCTACTTTAAGTGTTTAACTTGCTACACAGTAATGGGGGGGGAGCAGGGGAGGAATCAGATTCAACACTACATTATGTGGTTAGTCAGCAAATGCTCCATGTACTCAAGTGTACATTGTTAAACAGCCCCACACGCCATCCTGTGGTCTCTTTAGTACTTGGGTAAAACTTGGCAAGCTAAGACATTCAGAGAGATATGAAGTACACAAAGCATCAAAAACACCATATATGATAAATTCACAAACTATACAGAATATCACCCTCATGCTCTTACCACAGAAGCCAAAAACAAAATCTGTAGTACCTGCTTCCTTAAGGAAATCATAGGCAGGGATCCATGATATATATATATACACCATGACTATAGTATTTTTTATGGAATGCATACTTTGCTATAGGATATAATCCAGTTAAAACAGATTTCTATCTTGCCCAGGAAGACACATCCAGTGCTGTGTGCAGGGTTAACCAAAGCAGCATCATGTGCTGAATTTGACAGTCTGAGATAATGTCTTAGACTCAAACAGCTTTTCTGTCACCTTGACCATGGCCCCATGTGCTCCAAGATTCTAAGAATGACAAATTGAGTGTTCCCTCCACCCCACATGTTCAAAGAAATCTAACATTTTTTCCACAGAGCAGTTACTTGATACAGCCAGGTATCTGTACTGTGTTTCTCCTGCATCTCTGCAGCCACCTCGTTTCCTTCAGATTTTTTCACTAAGTTAACTGTATCATAGTTCTTGCTACCAGCACTGTTACTTGGAACCAGACACCAGGAGTCCAACTGGAAGCCAGACTAGGGGTCCAGCTGGAATGCTAGAAGAACTGTACAGCTACTGAGACCTGGAGAGCCAAATAAAACTGACTTCAGTAGCTCCTACATGGTCATTCACACCCAAGTCCCTGCCCCATGCTGAAGGCAGTTACATACCAGACTACTTAATCCACTGATTTGCAACCGGAGTGCCACAGCACAGTTGGATGTGCAAACACCTGATTCACAAGCTAAACCCCGAGATTTTGACCCAGTGTCAAAAACATTCTGACCTGCTGTGGTCCGAGTTATTTGTAACAGAACTGCTCTATTATTTTTCCATAGTCATAAAGCAAGTGAAAGTTAAGAGATGGCATTTTCCAAGGTTGTCTCGAGTCTAGACAAGTTAGAACAACTAACTTAACTGTGGGAGCTAAGACCTAAGCTAGGAGTGTCAAATTCATCTGGCCCCATGGGTCAGATAAGTGGTGTGGGATCAGTGCATGGGCCAGATGAATGGTGCAGAGCCAGAGCCATAGACCAAATCAGGTCCATGAATCCCCCTCCACCCACCCATGTCAAATTCAGTACGTGTGATGCCAGCTTCAACTGGTCCACAACACTGCAGGAAGAGACCCAGCATCCCAGGTGCTTAGCTTCCACCACAGGAACAAGATGCCAGCTGGGGCTCCAACACCATGGGTTTCATCTAGGCTCTTAGCTGCCACCAGAGTAAGTTCCCCCATTGCAGCTGGAGTTAAACTGAACCCAAAAGGTCTTGGCCTCTGTCTATTCAACTAATTTTACTGCTATTTTAAAATTTCCCAACAGCAAGTCCTGGATTTAGATGCATTTCTCATCCTAAGGCTTATTTTAAATTAGTAACCCATCAAATCCCCTCCAACAGCCTTCAGGATTTTGAAGGTATGGGACCAGACAAGGCTAGTTTTGTTCAAAAGCAGAGCAGGTGACAGCATAAACATCATGTTCACTGCAAACTGAATTCTTCTGGGCAAAAATAATCTGATGCAGTGTCAAGTGGAGCAGTCTCTTTAGTGGCCCAAACTTACAATGTTACATAGTTACATAGATGTAGGGTCGGAAGGGACCTAAGTAGATCATCAAGTCCGACCCCCTACCCTGGGCAGGGATGAATACTCGGCTCATATGACCCGTGGTAGGTTTGATCTCATATGACCCCAGCTAGGTGATTATCAAGCCTCCTCTTAAGGACCCCTCTAAGGTAGGATTTACCATTTTGTAAATCTATTTTGGCCAGAAAAACACTAGGACTTCAGTAACTCACCTGCAACCTCCTTGGAGACAGGACTTAAGCTACATCTCAGTCAATCCTACTCTCTCATCCTGTGGCTGATAAACCTTAATTTAGCAATTTACAGAGAAACAGAATAGCAAACCTCTACTAAAGGATTTACCAGTTAGTGCAGAACTATCCAGCAAGTAGGCCACTAGGGATTAAGTTGCAGTCCCCAGACTCCTGCCTAGTTGCCACACCGCCACTGCTCTGGCTGCATCAGCGTCCATAGTCTCCTGGCTCCCCTTCTGGCTTCCACCCCTGAAGATGGGAGAGGAAGCCCACAGTGGTGGGGTGGGGAGAGGAGCAAGCCCACACTGGTGCAGCCTGTGAGGCATGCAGCCCCTAGCCACTTGGGCAGCCTTTATTTAGTACAAAAGGACTTGCCCCTACACTTCCATGGACTGACTGGGGCTGAGGGCAGATGGAGAAATTCTCCTGAAATCATATGATCAAGTTAACTGAACCTACATCTTGCAAAAGCATTATAAACTTATCTTTGAGCAGCAACTGTATCAATTAAGATCTTTATGACAATAATGGCACCAATGTGAAGGAAAACCATGATATTTAAATGCTATGCCATGTAACCCCTGCCTTATATGACCCAAATGGACCACTGTCAAGATGCTGATTTTAACAAGGCTGTTTATCTGGAATGTCAAATGGTTTTCTTCCAGCCTTCTATCCCAGAAGCATGTCCAAATGTAGGCTTTAACAAGTGCCTTCAATACAGGCCAATTCCTTCAAAAAGAGAGGATTGAATATCCTGGAGAAAGTAAGACATTATCATATATTCCTCTTAATGGAAAGAAAAAATTACCTTAAGTTGTCCCACTACCATACTGAGTATGCAGCTGTCAGGAGTAGGCTGGTGGTCTTGTGCTGTGATGCTGTGCTGTATTTTCTGAAAGGGGAGGCTCTAAGACAAGAAGAAAAAGAACAGGGTTAGCAGATGGAAAGTGTTCTTCTCACCCTGCAGTTCATTACATTACACAAAGTCAGTCAGTTAGATCCAATAGCATGAAATATTGAACTACTCTGGCCATAGGCACCACGAGTTTAGGTTCTCAGGGTCACATGGAGATGCTGTTGGTCAGCAATTCAGTGTGTGAATTTCTCAAGACTGGTCTAAGGAATAGTTTTTCAGATGATCACCCCATAAGGTCCATCTGATGGTGAAAAAGATGCAGTATACACCCATTAAATGCCAACATCCCAACTCTGAAAACATCCCACCTCTGGAAAATTCAACAAGATATCCATGCCAGAAAGGTCTTTCAGAATTTCATATTATTGTATGCCCTCATCCCAGAACAGTGGGTCTTTCTTCTCTCCTCACTCCCATTCTGTATTTCACTAATTTCACTATTACTCTTATTCTTTCTTTTCAGTTATTGACAACTCATAGAGAGGCAACAGAATATTGCTAACCTACACTGCACTGGGGTGACCACAGCCAACATTTTTTAAAAGACACTGAACTCCATCTCCACTAGGTGCTAATTAGTACTTAAATGTGTTTGCTTTTTTCCCTTTAATGTAGCTAGATCAAGCCTTCCATATTAAGCCTATAAATGAGCTGAAGTTCTGGTCACTACAAGATGTAGTGCCAAGAACTGATTTTTAAACAAACGCCTTGTACATGGCACTGAGACAGGAGGTAAGATGTTTTGAGCCCCATACTTGGGTGGTACCAGACAAGGCCAAAACCTGTTCTCTCATCAGTACAGCATCCAAATCTAATAAAATAAATGTTAAGGGGGGGATCCTAATAAACAGTAATATAACAAAAAGTTATCATGATTAGTAAAGGTTTTGTAGATCAAGTAAGGCCTCAATGACATCTGTGCAATCCTGTTGCCTTTCAGGGGTTTGTACAATGTCACCAATTAGAATTTAGCAAACCAGTCAGTCGAAGCAGAAGGAATTCAGTCCTGCTTCCTGCTCTCAGCTCTGCTGGCTCTGTAGATTCTCATAAGACAAAGGCAGGCCCTACAAGGAGAAGCTAAGGGACCTGAACCTGTTCAGCCTCCACAAGAGAAGGCTGAGAGGGGATCTAGCGGCCTACTACAAACTAGTCAGAGGGGACCAGCAGGCATTGGGGGAGTCCCTGTTCCTCCGAGCACTACCAGGAGTGACCAGAAATAACAGTCACAAGTTGGCAGAGGGTAGATTCAGACTAGACATCAGCAGGCGCTACTTCACTGTCAGGGCGGCTAGAATCTGGAACCAACTTCCAAGCAAAGTGGTGCTGGCTCCTACCCTGGGGGTGTTTAAGAGGAGGTTAGACGAACACCTTGCTGGGGTCGTTTGACCCCAGCGCTCTTTCCTGCCATGGCAGGGAGTTGGACTTGATGATCTGCTCAGATCCCTTCCGACCCTACCAACTATGAAACTATGAAAGTGTTGAATGTGGAGTCAAGTTGGAAGGTGCTCACCACTGCCCTGTGTTCCTCACTCATGTTCTTAGAAGAGTTTAATTCCCAAAATTCAAAACACTGCAAAGCCAAGAAATTAAGTTAAGGTGATTCCTCCCACGCAACTGCATCCTTAGGGCAGAGGCCAGAAGAGTCCCACTAGAGAGATCAGAGCAGCTGGTGCTCTCCAGAACAGTGAAACACTCTTGAATTGTGTAAAGTGGGAGGGCTGACTAGAAATTTGTTAGTCACAAAAACTGGCAGGTTTGGGATATGGTACTGTTATATCTCATCTCCCATGGCCATCTTCACATGGGGCAGAGGTAAAGTGGCTTTGCTTTTATCCCATAAAGATTTAACTTGCACTCACTATCATAATATCTCTGCATCTTCCAGTCAAGCATTGAGCTACAAAGCACCTTGCTTTGTACCCCCATCTCATCCTATCCCCAGTGGAAGGAACTGTACATCCTTAATTTCTGTGAAAGTTAATTCCATAGCCTTTGACTAGCCTTTGAGAAATCCGTCTCCTGAACAAACAAGTTTTTATACCTTATGGCAGCCAGTTCTAGTGCTGCGTGGGAAGTATCATTAGCTCAGCATTTCCTGGTGTCCACCACCATTTGTTTTTAACCTGTACTTCTATCCTTCTGCAAGGGGACCTTAAATTAGGCACACATCCTAATTTATTGCAGTCAAATTCTATGGTTTACAATTAAGAGCCCAGTCTAGAAAAATGTTTTTGTGGCTACCGCCCATATAGTTTTAGACTGAATCGACAGGAATCAGCCACAAATGATCAGTATCACTCACTGGGCTCCTGCCTCAAATTGACCATCCTGCTCCACTCCTACCTGGGACCCATTCTGCCTTTTTCCTTCCCTTTTGCACAAGGAAATACCAGGGGTATTTCTTAGTGAAGGATGAAACTGATTAAATACTTCTTCATTCAAAATTTAACATTAAATAATCAACAGTCACATTCGTTTAATGCATGTTTCAAGTGGAATATTCTAAGTGAAAATATCAGCAACATCCTTTGAAAAATATCATGCCTATAAGTAGCACAACAGAGGGCCTTACAGGGTTTACTGAGCTACTGTAAAAGCAAAGCAATCTCAGTCATCAACCTGAACTAAATACAAACACACACAAAATTCCTCCTTGAGTCTCTACAGTTCAGTGATGGGATCAGTCAGCTAAATATGGATTCTCTCTTCCGGAAGCAAACAAATATTAGGCCTTGCTTGTTCATATAAGCTCTTTAACAGAAATGCTTACTGTAAGAACTTCTAAAGTATGAAACAGTATCACTCTCCAAGCTTTCTAGTACATTCAAGTACAAATATTCTTTATATATGCTACCACTGTAGCCTAGAAGCAGTCAATAGCCATAAACTATCTTGGACTGACATCTCTTTTCCCAAAGGATCAGGCAGCAAGGTCTTCTTGAAAGTTTGGGCCCACAGGAGCAGGATTGTACAACTCTCTCCAAGGCAGGGGCGGACAATTATTTTGGGCGGAGAGCCGCTTACTGAGTTTTGACAAGCCATCGAGGGCCACATGATAGGCAGCCTGGGGCAGATAAATATTAATTTTCTAAATTTTTTAGGGACCCCATGGGCTGGATAGAGTAGCCTGGTGGGCTGCATCCAGCCCCTGGGCCACATTTTGCCCACCCCTGCTCTAAGGGAACCACGTGCCCTACTTTCAGAATTTACTTTACAAAATAAAAATTTTGGGGAAAATTAGAAACTATTATCCACAGCATTTAAACACAAACTTACAGGTGTTTAGAGCACTATTTCCTGAATTAAATGAACTCCAAGAGTGATAAAACTGCAGGCAACCATGTACAGTCTCTGAAAATGAAATACAGGACTTGTCACTTGACAAGTCAGTGTGGGCAGCTGCTACTTCCATGACAAATGCCATGACACAATAATCATTACAATTCCTGGATGCTCTAGAATCAAACTGGCTCCCCTTGGAGACAGAGGAAGCATCTCCAAAGTTGTGAACTGCAATGAAGAGTAGACATCTAAGTCCAATAAAAATAAATTTGACCACCAAGTTCCATCATCCCTTTTAGGCAATGACCAGCTATGATGCTGTAAGCTAGCAACCTGTGAGTGAAGTAGAGTCAGTTCCTACTCATCAGGTCTCAAACAGCCCAGAAGAACATCCCAGACAGCTTAAAAAGAGAACACTTCAGTGCTCTGAACCTTAACTAGCAGATCAAACTTTCCAATTCTTTTGAAAAGAGAAAGAATAAATGTTCTGTGAAATTAATATCCTGAGTACTTCAGAGCCAAATGAGACAAAAGTTAAATTAGAACCTGCCTTGCCTAACACATCCAAAGTGCAATCACTTCTCACACGGAACTCTAGGGGTAATATTTTCTGAACACCTAAGCCATTTGGAAGCATTAAGTCACTTTTGAAATTTTTACTCCAGCTGAGGAACAAAGCAATTTAGATCCTGAGAGCTCTATGCCAGACCAGATGTTTGGAAAAAAACCCAAAACAACAAAACCACAGACTTACGGAGAGTTTTTCAACTATAGCTGCTTTGCCCTGGAATTGCTGCCCTTCCCATGTAAGGCATGATGCATCAATCTGAAAGAGACAAGAAAATGTTAAGTCTCATCCTTCCTTCCCTCTTAAACATAGCAAGGAAAGACCTACTAACAACATGTCGGTCCTTAGATGTTTCTGAAACAGAGCTCACCCTGGCTTCAGAGATTAAGCATTCAATTTCTCCAAGAGAACTGGAGCATTATATTTTGTATGCTTCTCTACAAAGCAATAAACTCCATACACCAATTAAATGCTTGCACTGTTACCTATAGCTAGATCAGTTGATTGGCAGTCGTATTTATAAGGGAAAGAACTACTTATCCTGTAGCCTTAGAACACAGCTGTGAGGAAATTATCTGAAGGGAAGAAAGGGGGAAGGAACCCAAAGACCAAATGCAATGCAAATGGCATTATGTGGGGCTAGACAGTAATAAAACTTCACAAACAGGATTCTGTCAGCCAAAAAAAAAATATTTGTTCCACTTATGTCAGAGAACAGAAAATAAGTCCCCCTCATCTTCTACAGAAGGAATTAAAGAAGGCTAAGAAGAAAAGGGACAGGAAGGAGATCACTGTAGCAAATATAAATCCTTCATGCTCCTTTACAAATCCAGTAAAAAATAAATTACAGAAATGTACAATTTTAGAAGATCAAAAATGTTCACATAAAAAGGCCAGATGGTTCTCTATAAAGTTGTCTAATACTTTGGCCAATTTAGATTGAGACAGACATTTTGAACACTTAACATGTAAAAGAGGCTAGAGGCCTGCCCTATCTCTGGTCTGTTAAAGCCACTTAGCACATTCAACAGAGAATCTGGTCAGCAAATGCACTCAGAGATGTCTCAGTCCCATGAAGTGAAGAGTAGATTATTTGAATAAACCTTTTTTTTCAATACATCCTTGATTTAGCTTAATTTTTCCAAAGCTTCAACCCAACTGAAAGATTTTGTTCTGTTACAATTTTAATGTCTACATTTAAATGAATTACAAGCACAGTTTAAGCAAGTGTCATTAGTATCAGGATTTTTCTTGAACATTATAGATTTATTGGCAAGCCACTGAAAATATGAAAACTAGTATTCACAACTGCTTATAAAACCAAAGTAGCATGTAGTCTGTGTCCATACAAAAATGCAACAAATTAAGCATTGAATAAAAGGTCAAATTTGTGAAAGTTTTCTGTAACAGTATAAATTTTTATAGTATAGCATTTTAAAGCCAAATCACCATCCACAATCCAAAAAAGCATCACTTCACTACACCACTACTACTCGATTGGCTGAGGATGCACAAGATTTTGCAAATTAAATTACCTGAGACAGAAAGCCAGAGATGAAGTCTTGTGTGTTCCCATTCACATAACTGCTTGCACCAAACTAAGCTATGAAAGCAGTCTTTCAACACTAACAGGAGAGACATGAGTTGTTAACCACTGCAAGTTTTCTTTCATGGTCTCACCCTTGTTTTCACTTATGCTGTTTGCCTGCGATTTCTGTCACCAAACAGTGATTACAGTTTCCAAGTATTTCACAAGAGAAAATGACTCAAAGCCAAAGTAATTTCAACTGAATTATTGTCAGCAGAAATCTATTTTCAGTATAAGTCTCCAGCATACTGAAGTATAGTGGAGTCTTCTAGGGCTGTGCAAAATTTCACCTGGTGTTTTGTTTCGAAGCTGTTTCAACACGTTTTGAGCTCGAAACAGCAAAAACAAAACAAAAGCCTTTGAAACAAAACAAGGGCACTCGAAACATTTTGAAAGTTTCAAAATATTTCGAGTTTCGATGCCAGGCTTATTTGGCTTCAGCGCCAGTCCCAGCTGGCAGCAGCAGCCTCCTGTCATCTGGCAGGCAGATCAGGGGCCCACCCGCACAGCCCCCGTCATCGGTGACGGCACCAGTAGGGGGGTAGCGAGTGGCCAGACATGAAGCTGACGGCGACGGCGCAGAGTTGCCACGGCCACTCCGCCCAGCTCTGCAGGGCCCCCCAAAGTAGGGGGCCTGGGACGGCCCAGGCTACAGCTGGCTCCAGGTGGCAGCACCAGCCTCCTGTCATCCAGCAGGCAGATCAGAGGCCTGCACCCCAAGGAGCAGTTCAGCACAGCCCCTCCCAGGGGTGTGGGCAAGCCCCCAATCTGCCTGCAGGATTACAGGAGGCTGATGCTGCTGGCTGGGACCAGTGCTGGGCACAGCCCATGCTGGGAAGATCCATGCTGCCACTGGCCCAGCACTGGGTGCAGAATAGCCTATGGGCGAAACGTCGAAACAGCGAAACAGTTTCAACAACACAAAATGGAATGGTGCTTTCGAAATTAAATGAAACACTAAATGAAACACTGTTCCGTCAAAACATCAGTCAAAGCGAAACGGTGCTGTTTCACACAGCCCTAGAGTCTTCTAGCATGACTGAAAAATAGCACATGTGGGGACAGAATAGATGTTAGGAAGTGATGCATCATTAATGCATGGTAAAAATGCTTTCAGAGCAATGCATATTATGCCACCACTTCTGTTGTGAATTTTCCTTCTTCCACCCTTCAACAGCTTCAGCAACTGAACGTGAATTCCTTACTCTATGGCCAAGTGTTATTGCTACTGGTGACTGAAACAATTCCTCAGCCCCACTCCTCAAACCAACTTTTAAAAAATTAAGCTAAAAGCTGGCTTCTATTCTTCCTACACCCATACATTTTCATAAACTCTGGCTGCATTAAAACTTTTAGCAACACACAATAGTATTTTCTCTCACTTCAGAAGACATAAGAAGTGCATAGGCACGTTCCTGCCTGTACTTGGCGGATGCAAAATGATTGTTAAAGAAACTAACTACGCAGACAGTATGAGCTGATATGCTGTCCTTCAGTCTCCTGACTGAAGAATTGTGTGCGGAAATCTATTGTTACTGGCAAACATTTCCTCATTTCAGCTATACTGACTCAGTTGTTCATCAGCCAACTAATCATATAGCACTTCTCCCCTCACACCTTTCAAATGCATCTCAAGCCACTGATAGACATTACACTTAAAGTGTGATGAACTAGTTAATCCTGTTTTAAGTAACCCAGTCACATGTTTATGCAACGAATGGCCCAATAAATTAGGGAATAAGCCACAAAGGTATTACACAAAATGTGTAATAACTGTGGCTGGTTCCCATCACTCCTTAAATTGAATGTGTGGCCAGACCAATCAGCTGATCAGTGCCCCCAGTCTCGGAAACTCACGGAGGCCTTGGCTCCGATGCACTCCCAAGGGTGGAAGTGCCAATCAGCTAACTGGAGCTAGGAAGGGATGGTAAGGGTAACAAGAAGGGTTTCTACAAGTATGTCAGTAGCAAGAGGAGGATCAGGGAAAGTGTGGGTCCCTTACTGAATGGGGGAGACAACCTTGTGACGAAGGATGCAGAAAAGGCTGAAGTGCTCAATGGCTTTTTTGCCTCAGTCTTCACAGGCAAGGTCAGCCCCAAAACTACTGCACCAGGCAGCACAGTTTGGGAGCAGGTGAAAGAACAGGTTAGGGACTACTTAGAAAAGCTGGATGTGTAAAAGTCCATGAGGCCAGATGGGATGCACCTAAGGGTGTTGAGGGATTTGACTGATGTGATTGCAGAGCCATTGGCCATCATCTTTGAAAACTCATGGTGATCAGGAGAGGTCCCAGATGATTGGAAAAGGGCAAACATAGTACCCTTATTTAAGAAATGGAAGGAAGATCCACAGAACTACAGACCAGTCAGCCTCACCTTAGTCCCTGGAAAAAATCATGGACCAGATCCTCAAGGAATCCATTTCTAAGCACTTGGAGGAGAAAAAGGTGATTAGGAACATTCATCATGGATTCACCAAGGCTAAGTCATGTCTGACCAACCTGATTGGCTTCTACGACAAAACAAGGAGCAATGGTCTCAAGTGGCAGCAAGGGAAGTTTAGATTAGATATTCGGAAGAATTTTCTCACTAGAAGGGTAGTAAAACATTGGAACAGGTTACCCAGAGAGGTGGTGGAAGCTCTATTCTTGGATGTTTTCAAAACCCAGCTAGAGAAAGATTTGGCTGGGATGATCTAGTTGGGGCTGGTCCTGCTTTGAGCAGGAGGCTGGACTAGATGACCTCCCGAGGTCCCTTCCAACCCTAACTTACTATGATTCTACAAGGTGCAATTTTTGGGATCATGGATCAGACTGGTATTTCACCAGACCAAGGGGAAAGAGAAGCGAGATAAGAATCACAGGGGACATGGTGGGAATGAAAGCCTTCCCACTGTGGATGCTGAGCTGATGCAAAACCAACTAGAAAAGCTAGACATTTATAAGTCAGCAGGACCACATGGACTTCATCTGAGAGTGCTGATGGAGCTGGCTGAGGTCATTGCAGACTTCATCAAAACTCTTTCAGAAATCATGGGACACAGGGGAGATCCCTGAGGATGGGAAGAGAGCCAACATTGTGCCCATCTTCAAGAAGGGGAAGAGGGAGGACCTGGGCAAAAAATCAGCCTAACCTCCATCCCAGGGAAAATTCTGGAAAAACTCATTAAATAATCTATGTCTGATACTCTTGTAAAGGTAAGATTCTGAACAACAGCTTTGTTGTGGGTAGGTCTCATCTTACCAATCTCATCTCCTTCTACAAACAGGTCTCTCGCTACCTGGACATGTGAGAGAAGGTCAACATATACCTAGACTTCCAAAAGACTTTTGATCTAATGTCCCACAATATCCTTGCAGAAAAATTGGAAGATTGTGGGCTTAACTGTACTCCCTTGGAGTACAGTTGGAAGATTGTGGGCTCAACAGTTCAGTGGAAAAATTGAAAGATTGTGGGCTCAACAGTTCAGTGGGTGGAAAACTGGCTACATGGTAGGACCCAGAGAGTTCTCATGAACGGATGTGTCGTCATGGTGAGAAGTGACCAGTGGTGTCCCTCATGGGTTTGTGCTTGGACTGGTGCTTTTCAACATCTTTATCAACACTTTGGATGTGGGGGTGAAAAGCTCGCTGGCCAAGTTTGTGTATGACACCAAGTTATGGGGAGTGTGG